GATTTTAGTCTTCAATTAAAATTATCCGTTGCAAATTTTTATATGTATTTAGTTTATACATATACTTTAATACAGTATCCTACATTTAAATTGTGTATCATTGAAATGTTTCTTTAAGTTCTTAATTTTTCACTGTTATCTACATCAACAAGCTATACAAAATAAAGATCCCTTTCTCGTAAAGACCAAGTCTAAGAATATTTTTGATTTTATTGTATAAAGTAGATAATACCAGCTCTGGGACTATTGATATTTCAAATAGACTGACACAGAAGCAGTCAAGCCAAAGGCTGCCCTTTGATGCAAACAAAAACAGTGTCAGAATATATAATATCCTCTTCTTTGCTTCAGTTTCCTTTTGAAGACAAAGCTGTGTTTTTTAATTTGTTTCCTTTTTCACCATTTTACTTAATTCACAATGTAATGCAACACCTTATCAATTTCAGAAACTTTAAAAAAATAATTCAAAATATCTCGAAATTCTGAGGTTTAAAATTAAAAATTCACTGAACAGAAAATACTGCCTTTTGAAAAATTAACATACACACTATATAATATGTATGATAGCATACTTTATATTAGGAAGGCATTACACAAAAATATATATAGGAAAAAGTGGTGAAGTTTTTGTCAATTTGAAGTTTTACTAAATTTGAAACACATAAAAGAAACTCTTGCAAACAACTCAAATAGACTATATTAGATGAGTCCCCTATATTTTTGCCTTATATTTCTCAAGACTCTCAGTTGGCTTTTCGAGTGGAAGCAACTTAAGTTTTTGATGGGATTTAGCTTCCAGGTTCTAAAATATTCTACCGGGACCGAGTTTTTAGATTATTGGTGTCACTCTAACTACCTCCAACTAACGTTTTCTAATAACTTCCACTTTCATGTATTTCATCAACATAGAAAAGCCCATAAACAGTGAAGGATTAGTAGTAGTCATGGGAGAACACCGAACCCTGCAGCAAACCTTCTTTGGGTTGCTTAAAAGTATTTTAATTGCAGAAAAAATGAAATATTGAATTATAAGTGACCACTAAGGAGAGGTTCAGTATATCGTTGCAAAGCTTATGCAAGAGATTTTGCATCCTGTATGGTATATGGTCTGTATGGTAGAAGCTGCCTCCTAACCCTCAGTCTATTTGGGACTGGCCCAGGCCTTTGACCGGAGCCCTACGACACCCTGTCAGCTGCTTTACTTAGTCACATTTTTTTCAGTCACTTTTAGCGAATTTCCCTATAGGGAAGTAGCTATTACCGTAGGTGGCACGGTAAGACCTAGACCCGGGATCGATTTACTTTTTCATTTTGATGTCCCCAGAGGCCAAAAACACCATTCGTTCAAATTTTTATATATGTATATATATATATATATATATATACGTCCGTGAACGCGATAACTTGAGTAATTTTGGTCCGATTTTGATGAAATTTGGTTTAAAGGTGTAAAGCGGGATAAACTTGAATGAGTTCGCGAACCAGCATGATCGGACCATGGGAACGGGGCTTTACGGGGGATTTTATGGGGTAAAAATTGATTTTTCTCACTTTTGACCCTCAAAACACAAAATTTCCCAATTTCTCTTTAGACTTTTTTAAAGAGCTTAAAAAAAAAATAATTTAGTATATAAAAGTATTTTTGTTCGGTTATTAGTAACGGAGAAAATTAAAAAAGTTGTAAATTTAAAATTCCCATGTTATTCTTAGTACCTGGGGACCGAGCTTTGCTCGGAGAAAATCATTAGTTCACTCTGAAAGCAGTCTTAGTATCGGAGATACATAAATCTGTTCCCAAACTCCACACGGCTCGCCTTTACAACGTCCTACACCATTTCCTACGTCATGGACCTGTTTCCCTCCATTCCCACAGCACTTTAAGATTGTAGATACCTTAATCTAATCGTTATTAACAGTTCCCACACTCCGGACAGCTCGCCTTGACTACTTCCTTCACCACTTCCAACGTAGCGGACCTGTTTTTCTCCCTTCCCATAGCATTTCAGAATTGCAGATACGTTAATCTAATCGTCATAAACAGTTCCCACACTCCATACTAATCGCCTTTACTACTTCCTTCACCACTTCCTACGTCGCAAACATGTTTCCCTCCCTTCCCATTGCATTTAAAGATTGCAGATACATTAATCTAATCGTCATAAACAGTTCCCACACTCCGGACAGCTCGCCTTGACTACTTCCTTCACCACATCCTACGTCGCGGACCTGTTTCCCTCCCTTCCCATTGCATTTAAAGATTGCAGATACCTTAATCTAATCGTCATAAACAGTTCCCACACTCCGGACAACTCGCCTTGACTACTTCCGTCACCACTTCCTACGTCGCGGACCTGTTTCCCTCCCTTCCCATAGCATTTTAGGATAGCCCATACCCTTATCTAATCGTCATAAACAGTTCCCACACTCCGGACAGCTCGCCTTGACTACTTCCTTCACCACTTCCTACGTCACGGACCTGTTTCCCTCCCTTCCCATAGCATTTTAGGATTGCAGATACCCTAATCTTATCGTCATAAACAGTCCCCACACTCCGGACTGCTCGCATTTACTACTTCCTTCATCACTTCCTACGTCACGGACCTGTTTCCCTCTATTCCCATAGCATTTTATGATTGCCTTTACTACTTCCTTCACTACTTCCTACGTCACGGACCTGTTTCCTTCCCTTCCCATAGCATTTTAGGATTGCAGATACCTTAATGTATTCGTCATAAACAGATCCTAGACTTCGCACTGCTACCCTTGACTACAATGTCTCGAGTAATCTTAAGTATAATCAATCTTTGGTATAATCTTTGCTCAATATTAACAAGTGATGTTTTTCCTTTTGTACTGTATTTGTAATTTGCTAGTATACTGTGGGTAGTTGGTTTATTATGAACACGTGCTACAACTTCAAGTCTTTTGTTTACCTTTTCCTTGTTATTTAATTCAACCAACATGGTTACTTATCAACCCATAAGACTAATGTTAAAAAAATGTGACTTTCAGTTTCGTTTTTCTACGTAATTAGATTTTTGTTAGCAGTTCTAACTGCATGAAACTTGTTTTTAGGCCAAAAATAAACTATTTACAAGATTTGAAGAAAATCGTCGGAGCCGTTTTTGAGATCTTTCTGCAAGCAAGCAAGCAAGCAAGCATACATACAAGCAAACATTGCTCGTATTAGAGTATAGGATAGAGAATATTGTCAAATGTTGTAGTTTGCTTGTTTATGGATATATTTTGATCAAACTTGGCAAATTTATTTATTTTGTACTAAACTATCAATATTTTACTCAAAAACACACTTTATTAGTTTCCTTGTAGCAGTAAACCTAGGTACTCGTTAAACCTAATGTCATTAAAATAAATTTAACTGAAAATCAATTCAGGCAAATGGAAATTCGCTTAGTCGGCAGGTTTGCTGCGGCGGGGGTATTTATGTAAGTCATAATTTCCCAAATTAAAAAAATGAGAAATGATGACTTGGGTAAAAAAATTACTGAAGCTACTGGGAAAGCTAAAAGGTGACTATTTAGGACCAGGGGGGCAAAGTTTGGGATTATGGCCTGGACCGGTCCGGGTAGACAAATGGTTAGGAGACAGACACCTTCGATCTTACAGACTATAGTTGAAATATAACTTGCTCAGCTGTAATGCTGGAACTAAGAATATGATGGACTAGGTTGTATATTAAACCTCTTCAACAGCTTGTGGTAGACACTTGATGGGCTATCAGACAAATGTGCTCAAGTAGATGTGGCTCCATCCCAGGCTTCAAAAGAGCTAATAGGCCTATTTTGGATGTTTTAAAAGTACACTTGACATATAACTGGTTTTCAATCTGATATTAAATAAACAGTATCAGCAATCTGACACATACTTTCTCCCATTCGCTTGTCAACAACCTTTATCATGAGTAAGCGATGGGAGTAACTGTGATATTTAAAGGGAAAATCACAAAAGTTGCAATAGCTTTTGAACCGTAGAGTAATGGCGGGTTGCACTATATTTTGTTAAGAATTAAGGACCACAACAGTCAAATTTCAATAAGAACGGGGTTCCAAAAAATCGAAGCACATATAGCCACTTTCTAGTTTATATTGAGTGAAAGTTCTTGCGATCCCTAATGGTGAATACTGATTATTTACACCATTTAGACCATTAGAATTTAATTTGTTTATTTAATACAATAACTTACAATGTTGTATTTTTGTGATTGATAACGACAATGTGTTAATATTGTGTAAAGATAGTGTTCACGACATGAGTAGAAAATTTAAGGTACGAGCCTTCTACCAGTGTCGTTAACACTATTTACGCGAGTTGTGTATACTACTTTACCTAGGACAGTGTTTTAATTACAAAAAAATACTACTCATAGCTTCTAAGAGAGGTTATGATTTTGTTTATTAATTACCACTCATTAATTACCACTGAGAGTGATGCAACAAAACACTAATTGCACCACTCAACCATTAAATTGTCCTGAACAGCTGATTAGTGGAAGTTCGAATCATTACAATTTTACTTCTTCTATTCCAATCCTTGAAGCTCATTGCTCCACTCGTGTTGTTTTATGAGTAAAACTATGCTGTTATGTGAAACTTTTCAATTCTAAGAACTGAACTGAAACGGCTACTTAAAAAAAACGTTGTAGAAAATTATTTTTCCATCAAGGATGTCATTCCATGCTGTGTCCAGTATATTACTTCCACTGCTTAAACCATTAGTATTCAACTAGACCTCCGAGAGCGCGGGGGTTTAAACATTACAGCAGTTAAAAGAGGGCAGACCTGACAATGGGAAGGGTCCTTTAATTGACATTTTAATTTTCTTAATACAAAAGTGTTTCAATGTTATAATCTCTTCTTTTAATCAACTTATTTTGTGTTAGTATATTTATATGCACAAGCCTTAACAGTACATAACCAGTTATTTCTAACAAAGATTATAACCAGTTTAAAACAAAGGCATCTATTAAATTACAAACAATATAAAAATATCACAATTTTATTCAGTGTACAATTGATTTGACCAACCATAACACTAAAATATATTTTTGTAATCTACAGTATAATTAACATAATTTATCATAAAACTAAGTTACTTTAAAGTATCGCACAAAAGGTCATGGAAAATACAACAAATATTGAGCAAACAGGTATCCAAAACCTATCTATAGTATTAAGTAGAAAAATACAACTAATTGAATCTTTGTTATGATATACATTTTGCTTTTCATAGTAACATCTAGAAGATAAATGAGTATTATTTAGTTAACACTATAAGGAATTAAAATGTTCTATAAAATAATCACAACCGACCTAGAAAGTTGTAACATAATATAACAAAACAAGGTAAGGCAGTTAAATGCTACAGGCAGTATTCATTGGCAGGTTCGTGTTACGAAGTAGGCAATTCTTAGGAGTTAAACATTTTTGGAAACATAAACTATTCCAAATTTTTAAATACATTTTAAAAAAAACTAAAAATTGTAACTTTATAAAATTTTGTTTAGGATTTAGTTTGGCTGAGTAAAATAAAATTATGTTTTCCCCTTGAAAAATATTATGTTATTTCCCTATGGAATACCTTTTGAACTTAAACATGTATTATTCTTTGTGCTACACTTTATGCTGTTTGACAGCTTCAGTCGTCAATTTGAGTGTTTTGGACTATAGTAGTCTGACACTTTTTGTTCTGTTTGTTTCATAGACCTAGTTAGGTGTATGTCTTGTTCACATATGGCTGTTGGCTCTCTCAAGCTCTGCCCAATTTCTCTTCACATTTTGCATCATGAGAGACCCTTGGTCGTCGTCAGGCTCGTAAGCAGGATTTGGATGTCCTTCGAAGAGGTCCTTTACGCTCACCCCAGCGTTCGATATCCTCTGTGTCCTGGTCACTGCATTGTTTGCTCCTAAAGTCTGCATCTGCGATTTCCGTCTCTCGTTTTGCAGAGATCTTCTTCTCACCTCCAACGCCTCCCGGACTTCACGACGCATTGTCAGTTTGCGCCCCAGGATAGGTGTACCTAGAAAGAAAAAAATGTTGTAACTAAGGTTGTTACTGTACTTTTTTATCAAAGATCTTTTAAGAGAATTAGATTAAGTGTGTGTATATTATTCAATTATTTATTTAGCTTTACCTGAAGAATTCACCTCTTTGAAAATTCACATGAGCTTGGAATGCTAAAAATAGAAACAATAGATTTCAGAGATATTAAAAGATAAAAATAATTCAAAAGGGTTTGTAGTAGAAGAGTGCTAAATCAGATATTTTTACAGTGCGGAAATATGTGTTTATAGCACTAAATTATGTGTGTTGACAGAGTGGGGTCAAGTGTTTACAGTGCTGTGTTATAAGTGTTTACAGTTCTTAGTCATAAGTATTTATATTGCTGAACCAAGCACATTGGCAAATAACCAAATAAATGTAAAGGTAAATTAGGACCTTCAGAAACTAAGTTTGCCCGTTCGTTCATTTTTGAGTGGAATTTATTCTTTAATTTGTTTGTCACAATGTATTGTGAACTTAAGTTAACTTAGTGTTTACTTGTAGTGTTTTCAGTGCTGGGAAACATTTAAATTGTTTTGGATAGCTATAGCGCTTAAGTCCTTAAAATTATGATTGTTCACAAAATAACAGTAACAGTCAATTAAGTTTATGTAGTTTTCTAAGCCTAAGAACTAAGTAATAAAACTATTAAAACACACCATCTTCCTTATCACAAACCTGGGTTTTCCTCGCCCTCTTCCATTTTCATCTGAAGGAAGCGCTTCCTGAAAGCAACATCCAGAGTCCCGATTGTTCGGGTCTTCTGCCGCTGCTTCTCGATGTTGTAGATGGTTCTTCGCCGTCCGACACGGTCTGCGCTGGAGCCAGAGTCGTTTTCGTAGTCTCCATTGATACCTTTCAGCCGTTGTAAGTGTCGGACGATGTCAACTGCTTGTTTGTCCAGTAGTTTATCATTAGACATCTCCTCAACCTGTATATTTAATTTGTTAGTTCCAATGTTTATTGCCATTAAACACTTGTTTGGAATTTGTAATTTACCGATGATGTATTTGTAAAAAAATTATATACTCTTGTGAATATTTCTGTAATCTACAAAATACAACAGAAAGAAGCTATGTTTACCGTGTAGTGTGGCCAAAAAGATAATTAAAATAATTTATCATAAACAAATAATTACTTTTAGACAGGAGTAATAAAACTTCAAATCAGGTAAAAACAATGTCAACTCTGAGCATAAAACAGATTAATAAGTCATTCATATTCTAGGTTTTCATTGACTTACCTTCTTGTTGCAACACCAGTTCAGTTCCGTAGATGCCAGAATATGTGAGATGGTTCCGAATCTATGGAACAACATAGCCGTGAACTGGATCACCAAAATGAGTGCAAAGAAGAACACAAACACCAGACCGATTGGCTCAAGCTGAAGGTATTCTTTGGAGATCAGTACCTGTACAATAAATCATGTTAAAAGTTAGTCTTTAAAAAAAAAAAAATTACCTACGACCTGAAAGGAGGAAAAGAGTGTTAGCTCTTTCATAAAATGTAATATTGATTACCGGTACTAATAGAGATTACAAAAATACATCATACTTTTGTTCAGTTTAAAATTCAGTTCATAATCATTCCTTGGCTTTTCCTTTTACACCTTTTTTATTAAAATTACAAAATAGATCAAATAAAAGCTTTATCTGGAGCTATGTAAAAAATGCAAGCTTTAATTTTATTGTTCTGATTATACATTTTCAAACTATCACATTACATTGTCATTCCATATAACTTGCAACACGAGTTACTACCTCATGTATATAAATCATTTTCAGATGTTACTTTTAAATAAAAAAACTCACATAGTTCTTTAAACTCATAAAAATAACTATAGTACAAGACACAAAAGCTGGTTAACTTTTGCTTGACACAGAAGAGTTAAGTGATGACATATACGGAAATAACACGTGTTATTGTGCCTCAGAGAAACACTTTTTTGTGCTGATCATGCGAAGAGAGTTATTTAGTTCCAGATCGGGAGGGTCGAGTTATTTTGTAGCTTTGAGGCAACAGCAACACAAGAACCGAGGTTTGGTCCTTGGAGTAACTGTTGGGGAAACTTCAGAGAGATTAGAGTCAGAAATGGGACAATGATGATGAATGAAATGAAATGTAGAGAGATTAAAAGACTATGAATCTCTATGCTCCACTAAAAATAGAAAATTAAATTGTTTGACTTATGAGATGCAATATTTTGTCTTCAAGATATTCTAGTTTGAGAGTAAGAAACTATTTCACCTTAATTATTTGTAACAGTTCCCACTTTTTTATGTTTGAATAATGTATAAAAAATTACCTTATAATATTATAGTTTATTAAAGAAGCAATCCCCAACTAAAAAAGGTAATCCTCTAAGCCTTTTTCATTTGCGCTAAAACCATTATGTTAGAATATAATGCATCCCAGTTGTTTCTTGCCCAGACATTATTACATGCGGTTTTAGAAAGTTATCGAGTTATTTGTCAGTAATCAATAGCATTTTTTAAGTATGTTTATTTATGTTTTTTTTAGTGTTCTTTGTGAATTTGAAATAAATTTATAAAAAATATTACATTAATTACTGTGTATTTTTTTTTAATTCTACATAAAAAGTTAATTTACTTTTAATTATTTCATTTATTTTATAAAACTTCCACTTATTATTGATGACTTTAACCAAATATATGTTCAATACATTGGAAGCACTTATATTTTTTAATATATATTTTTACTATGCAGTAAATATTATAAGCTATTTTTTACCTCTGGATTTTGTTGATGCCTTTATACAACCTATTTTAATCTTTGGGCCTATATACAACACTGAACTACGTGTTTCTACTTTGTACAAAGTTACTTTAAAGGAATTCCCATCTAAAACAACCTGTACCACAGGAAGTATTAATGTGGACACATCTATTCTATGAGGAAACAAATGTACAGAAGACGTGAAATGAAATGTGAGAAGGAAGATAGAAAGAGTGTTAAAAGAAAAGTGATAAACGTTGTAACCAGTTGCAGGTTGAGGTAAGGACGCATACTGCTGGGCGGTGCCTTATTTAAGGACATATAAATTGTTCAACAAGAAAGAATGGTCAATGTTAATTTTTTTTGTGACTAAATTTATTATAAAAATAATATTTTTAATTAATAAATGACAATTAATATCGATAAGGCTATGATTCCTCAAAAAGGTAAAAATGAAAGAAAATAAGTTTTTAAATTTCAGCAATGAGTTTTAAAATATATAATACTTTCTTAGCACTAAATTTAGCAATACAGTACACTCTTGATTATCCAAGACAATTTAAGATGTGTTAAGCTGTTTTATTTATTGTTTTCCTTATTAAACACTGTTTTATTTTTTTTTTACATTCCACGAAAATACCATTTATTGATCATTTTGTATTCACTATTAAAATATACTTTACAAGTCTTTGTCTTCATAATGTGGTACCCTAACCTCAAAATCTAAGAGACCTCCGTGTTATCCGAGATTCTCGGTAACCGAGGTAGTGTGATTCCCAACAACCTCGGTTAATCGGGAGTGTGCTGTAGTTTCTACTGATCAAAACAAAAGAGGTTAATTATTTTGATAAAATTGAATACAATTTGTTGTTGTAGTATTGACAAAAAACTATAGTAATTTAATTAGTAGTTGTATGAGCTAATTCTTTGTACTTAAATTTATCTTCCCTAATAAGAAATGCTTTAAAATTTAATAATCAGGTTTTGTTACCTGTTTAACTTTTATTTTGGTTTTGTGTGGATTATGAGTTTAATCATTTTTTTAGAGCAATATCAGGAACTAATTGAGAAAAGTTCAAATTTTAATCATGGTTTGGGTTTATAATTTATGTTTAACCTTTTTAAAATCTCTGATTAAAGTGTTTCATGGTGATGGTTGAAATTAGCGTGAACTATGAATTTCCAGTTCCCGCCTCATTTGATGACACCCGAGCCCAGCAGTACACATCACGTGAGGTATGTTACATGGGGAAGGTTCCATTTCCAGTCCCCGACAGTTCCAGTTCCATGCGTTTCACCCTGAGTTCGATACCTCTGCCGTATCCTCAACGTAAGTGATATTTGTCTTGACCCCAAAAGGCCACTGCACATGAATCTGGTCCTTATTGAGTTGCAGCAAAAACACGATTAGCACAAATAAAGCGTTCATCATGAAGAAGGCAAACACCGAAGTGTTCCTCAACTCGATTAGATCGGCAGCAATCCTAGCCTGGAAACATTACACGTGATGGGTTAGGTTATGTTGTACCCACGGACGTTCTGTGTGTGGCTAGAAGAAATGTTAGGAAATGTTAGGAAGTGTTTGTATTTAATGATGTATTGTTTGCACAGTATTTATAATTTCAGGGTGTTTTTTTTTAATTCCCACAAAAAGGTGGGATTGAGTTTAAGTACAATAACAGTCATTTTCTACTCGAGCAAAATTCTGTAGTTAATATACAACAAAAGAGGATTATATTTCGGTAGAGTAGGATTGGTTGTAATTTGAAAATGTAATTTAAGGGTTTTTCTATTTAAGAGAATGGTTGGAGGGATCAGAACCATCAAAACATTTCCTCGTATCTTCAGGCTTTTCCCACAGAACGCCCGTTGCCTTATCTTTAACCAACCTCTTACCTCTTGTGTTGTCTCATCATAGGTTATGTTAGTCTTGACTCCGAACGGCCACTTGACGTGCAAACTATCCTTGTTCAGTTGGAGCAAGAAAACGATCATGACAAACAAAGCATTTATCATGAAGAATCCAAACACTGAAGAGTTGCGAAGTTCTATCAAATCGGCGGCAATACGAGCCTAAAAAAGTCGCCGGCATTCGCCGATTTATCAGTTGATTTGTGTTCACTCTTTACCATTTTATTAATTTTCAGTTTGTGACAAATGACTATGATTATTTATGATTTATTTTTCTTCTATGATCCATCTAGAGAACATGATGAGGATATGATCCATCTTTTGAAATTTTCTAAGACCATGGTATTTTTCTTTCATTACAATAAAAATATTTCTTAACCCTGCAGCCTTTGAATTTAGGAATATGTTACTCCTAAATAAAATGTTCGATTAATTTTTGTAAGGGGTTTCATTAGATACTTTGAACATTGAGTGGGAAAATTATATATTAAAAAATATTAGTAATGCAAGAGTTGTGAAGAACATTTTGAAATAAAATCTTTGGTTGCATGTTATTCAAAAAGTATATTGGTCATAAACAATACCTTAAGGGTTAGTATACATACCTTTTCATTTTTGTCTTCATCAATAGGGAATAAATACTTTTCCAAAAGTTCTTTCCAAAACTGGTTTTCCCCAGCTGAGAGAAACGCCACAGGACCTTTCTTCAGATCCTTGTCTTCGATCCAGTACGGGTTTATTTCATCGTTTCTCTCGATTTTTGGTTCTGCAAAACATGAGTTCGGTGAACAAATAATACTGATGAAAAATTACTTGTAAAAGTACCTCATTTACACTGACAGTGCTACAGAAGACATTTTTTTTAAAGAGTGGTTACAGACAAACTTAAATTAGAAAGAGAATATAATTACAATAATCTGGGTAAGTTGAGGAAAAAGATGTCGTTCCTCCACATTGTTGAACATTACAAGATATTCATACACCCTCACCTCCAGTGGAGCCAGTAGAGCCGGTGTCTGATTCATCGTCATGAAGCTGATCTTCTTCAGCCGGGTCCTCAGCCAACGCTCCCATTCCGTGACCGTGACCATGTCCGTGACCGTGACTATGGTCACGACTGGAAGCTGAGGTTGTCCTTCGACGACTGACCACTACGTGACCATGCGGATCCACCACTCTAAAGTCACAAGTCACAAAGTTAAAGTTAATATACTTACTTAGATTAACGAATATTCTTTTATTTTTGTTAAAAAATTATTATGGTTTATGTAAAATTTGTTTGTCTCAGAAGAAAAAGAATGAGTACAGTAAAGTTTTGCACTAACACATTAAATAAAATGGGTCAGTTCTGTTAGTTTTAGTTAACTAATAAATTGTGTAAAATTTTGTTTCACTTTGGAGGGATCAGATCAAATTTCATACGGCGTTTGTTGAGCATTGGATACTAAAAGCAAAATACTTAGCTGAAATAAATCAAACTTGCTAAGCCAACTCAACAGACATGACAAGATAGTACCAAAACCCCTTAGTCAGTCATTTCACTTAAATTATTTGGACTTCATTGTGAATCTCTGTACAAGTAGAATTTTCTGACAAATAATAGAATAGATTAGGTAGGGTAAGTAAAGGTAATAAGTTGGATTACAAATAACAAAATACTGTCAACACTATTACTTACTTTTCAATGGATTCCAGCCTCTTTCCAAGAGTGTCCAAAGACTCTGCTATTCTCAAGAGCTGTTGCTTCTCATCAACAGGTTTAGGATACGTACAGAACATGCACTTGAACAAGCCAGCAAACGACAGCTCAAACGATCCTTCCTCCTCTTTGTCATCTGTTGGGTTGGAGTTGTCTTGCAAGAAGCCAAGCAGTGTCTTCCGTTTTGCTCTTCTTTTGGCCTCTTCCATTTCTTTCTTCTCTTCTTCAAGTTCCTACATTTTTAAAAGTTTGTGAAATTACAAACTGTTTGTAAAGTGCTATTTTGTTCACTCACATTTAGCATAATTGTTATTCTTATAAAATACTAACTAATAAAGCATGATACTTTCTTATATTTTATTAAAGGAAAAAATTTACTAGATTACTCTCTATAATTTTGTTATTGCGATGAAAAAAATATATATTTACACTTCTGTCTTTATATGTATTTTTACCATTGATTCGTCAATAAGGTCGATAGGATTTACGGCAAAAGTTTAAAAGCAATAATGTGAATATGATAAAATAACATTATAATTACCACCCTCACTGAAGCGAGGTTGTCACGAAGCCAGTTTACTAGTAGGTTACCAACCTCAGGTAACTTAAAATACACAACAAGAGGCAGGTAACCTGCCTGCTCTACTGGCCTGGCCTTATGTAAAGGTGCCAAGTGTTTCTAACAGTGAGGTTTAATAACAACCAGTGAGTAACTAACGTTTTATGGATTATATTGTGGCCCTTAAAATGGGGCTGTAATTTGTATTGATGGATGATAAAGTGAGTGACTTTCTGAAAACTGAGAACTCTCTGGAGATTGAAACTTCATTTACCAAAGTATCAAAGACCAAGTGATGAAAGTCACGTTATTGAAACTACAAACTAGATACTTCACTGACCCAGCAACTCCCCAAGCCCCGTCACCAGAAGCGATCAGTCTATCGGAACAATCCATACCTTCTTGGTCTTCTTGACCTGGACCTCACGGGTTCCCCAGGTGACAACATTCAGGTTGATGATAGAGTACAGGATCAACAGGAGGTACATGGCAGGAATGGACAGGAAGTAAATCAGGATGGGAAGGATACACTTGAACTCCTGAGGATGCAAGATGGCCGCTATGATGAAGGAACCCATCATACAAGAGAGGAAGATGGCTGAAGGACTTCCGGCACCGTCCTCTCCCAACTGCAAGGCTGTACCCACGAATACTGCCATCATGATCAAGGCATACGCTGTTGATAGGATTTGGGCTACTAGTAGCTGAAACACCAACAGTCATCGTTTTTTAATTTCTTATAAAATAAATTCTTCAACTAGGTGGTTAAAAAAATTACTTACCCAAAACTGATTGGTGGATTTACATATTAAGGCTGACGGTGCATACTTGAATAACAATTTAGACATACACAACGTTCTTTGATTCTGATTAGACCTATCCAACACTGTGACTACAGTGGCCAGCAGTTTAAAACTGAACTCCTGTAGGGATGTGTCGTAAATATTTTAGTCATGCAAGTTGAGTGTATTTTAAGAGGGGGGAATACAATATGACTTGACTACCTTCACCTTAATCAGAAGGCTACATATCTAAAAAATTAAATTAGAAGATAAAATAAAAGTTATTCTTTAGAATCTGAGAAATCCTTAATATATTAACACGACATATTTATTCTTTAGGACCTCACCTGTATATTGGATTTGCATGTGAAGCACACCAGCATGAAGAACATGATGGGAACAATATTGTAGTAGAAACTGGTCCAGTTGTCAATACGGAAAGCAGCCACAAAAGCTCCCACCAACATAAGGAATATGGTTCCTGGGCCAAGGATGGTACCACCCATCAACATAACCTGAAAAATTACGTATTGTTAGTTTACAAATTGATGGCCAAAAGTAGATGCTTCTGTCTGATGAATTTGGATAGTATATTAAAGTAGTGTTGACGGATCATATAACGAGAACATCTGGTCACAATAGGAGTTAATATGTTTCTAATATAGACATTTGTAAAAGTTCGGTAAAAGACTCACCTGGTAAGAGATGTATGGAAGAGAGATGTTGTCATTGATTTTAATGGTCTTTTTGTAGTCCATGAGAAGGTCCATGATGTTAGCCATGGTGGAAGGCACCCAGCGACGTCTCTGATTGAAGAACTCATTGAAGCCCTCAGGACAATGAGTGTAAGCATCACTGGCAGCTGAGTACTCTACTCTGTAGCCTCTTTGGAGCAGCAGCGTACAAAGCCATCGATCTTCCCCTGTTGAGGAAAATATAACAGATCTAGTCTTTCCTTAGATAAAACATAACCTCAGAGTGAAATACATTGTTACATAATTCAAGCAAATTTCAACATAGGCCTACCAAGTATTCAAAGTTTCAAAGTTTAAGATTCATTAACACCTCTATCACATGAGATTCCGGTCAAGACAATAAAAAACATCAACTACTTGTCACCATAGACCTGAGGATAGTGATGTATAATTACAGTATATAAGCATAGACAAACAGAATAAATATAGACCGTTGAAACATGACTGAGTTCCCAGACCCCAAAATGGTACGTGGAACTTTTACCAAGATTCTGTGCTCATGAGAGATCTGCAGGTGTTCAAAAAAATACAACTGAAAAGTGATTAACATCTTTAATTACCAACTCAATTAAAAATATTAACAAATATGCGCCCTTAAACAACAGCGAAATAATATATACAAATTGGTACAAGGCTTAGAATGTAAATCAATACCAGTGTTAGGCCTAAATCATTTACCAAAACATTTAAAACATTTATGTATATATAAACTTTACCAAAAGTTGAAGTTCAAGTTTAAGTTTAAGGACCAAGCTGGTAACTAGAAGAAAATCCTTACTTTAAGTTAGGTTAGGCCTACTCGGAAAAGGTTTAGGACAATGATAAATTTAAAAATATGAATCTTAAAAGGCAAGAAATTGAAAATATTACATAAAACAGACGTTGAATTGAAATGACCTTACAATGAAATCATTTAAAAATAGTATTTGACCAAAATATCAATAACAAGTTGCGTTTAAGGAAAAACGTTCGAACAACCTTACAGTTCAAAATTACACTCAACATTGACATGAAAATATTTAAATAGCAACATAAGACAATTATACACAAATATACACTAACATCAGAATAGAATTTTAATTTAAACAGTAAGAAATAGAATTTTTAAAATGGCAAAAATTGTGGGGAAGAATTTAGTACTGGCGTGAACCGAAATGAAATTTAGAACAATTGGGCCGAAAGTTTCCCCGTTAGAACAGAAATTTTTTGCCTATTACTAACATAACATGGTACATACACAAAATAATGAAATAACAAGGAAATGTGACACCCTACTAAATACATGAATTCTTGTAGCCTTTTTAAAAAAAACTCGTAGACCCGTGATATAAATAATGTATTCTTGTTGACTTTTGTTAGTTCCAGTTCCACAACTCAACTCGCAGCGATAGAGAAATAAAATCATTTAATTTGAAACAGTAAAAAACACAAGGGGATTTATAGTCTGTAGTTTAGTCCAGAAATAAGAAGTAGGCCTAGTTAGGGAAACACTAAGCTCAATTTGCTAGGCTACAGAGTTTAAGAAATTGAAACGGTAAAAGTTTAAATTGGGGAAAAACTTGATATAAATGAACTGTTCTTGAAGGTAGGCTGAATGCAAACGTTGGAATAATAATGATAACATGGAGTAGATAGCACCTGGTTTGTAGAGGTGAAGAAGGCCAAAGTTCTCGTAGAATGTTTCTGGGTGAAGTCCTTCCGCTGCGAGTTGGTTGTGGTTAGGCCTGGTTTAGTCCGGGGGCGAAGCCCTCGTCTTGCTCCGAACTAGGTCAGGATCAGGAGGCATGATGTGTCCGCTGCTGTCGGTCCAGTACAGGAACCCTGGCTTGGTGTCAAAAACAAATTTAAAATTGCATTTTATGAAGGTCGAACAAAATGAACTTGGAAAATCTTCTTTCTTGAGTCTCCATAGTGCCGGTAAAATTTGGAACGTCAATCTAGGTGGACGATTTCAAAGAGAGAGAGCGTCTCCAAGCAAATCGGAGAAGAAGGGGAGTAAAGACAAAGTGGACTCGCCCACGGCCTTTGGCGAGCGTCGGCGTACAGAGCTTCTGCCGCAATATGTACTATAAGAAATACTCTCCTTTCTCAAACTGAGCCGACTGACACGGCTCAACCTCCCACCCCAAAGGAGACATCAGGCTCAAAATTTTCAAACAGGTAACAAGTGATAACTGAAGTTTCATAATGTTTTCCAGAATAGGTGAACTGGGGTTATCAGCGCTGATAGATGTTTGTATAGAATAGAGAGAGATGTAGAAAACTTCAGAGAGAACGTAGTCTTGAGGGTGATCAGTCCTAAGACACACTATTCTTATTTACTTTCACTTCCTGAATCAAACATCGCATCCCCGGTGTAGGGCTTTAAATGTGAAATATGAGCCTTCCTAAACTTCTCTTCGGTAGTGGGGTCGACCAGCATAGCAGTAACAGGTGACAAAAATTTAGAAATTCTTAGAGGTCCAGTCCACCTATAGCACAGTTTTCCAGCACGTTTCTCCACTGCTGAACTAAGGGGATGGGCTAAGCAAAAAACAAGTTGTCCAATCTTGAAAGGGTTCTCTTTTCTTCCTTGGTTATATCGATCCCGCTGTCTCTCGTGGGCTCGCTTTAAATTCCGTCTAGCGGCTGACCACAGGTTTTTGACATCCGGGGTTGGTATGGAGGGTAACAAATCAGTGATTTTCCAAACATTTGACAAAGGGTTATTTGGTTTGAATCCAAACATGAGTTCAAAAGGTACCGCCTTATGGCCTTCATGGAGAGCAGTGTTGAAAGCTAGTTGTAGCCATCGTAGGTTCTGATCCCAGGTGTCTTGCTGTTCTGCGTGATACGCAATGAGCGCTGACTTCAAATTTCTGTTAAATCTTTCTGCATGAGAGGGCTGGGGGTAATATGGAGAAGTGGTAAAATGGTGTATTCCCTGACCGAAACACATCCTCTTGAATAAATGGGACCTGAACTGAGGTCCGTTGTCGGAAACCAATTTCATAGGATTACCAAAATGTTGAAACAAACGAGTTTGTAGAATTTCTATGGTGAGTCGGGCTGTAGCTTTCCTCATGGGGAATAACCACTCAAATTTCGTAAATGCATCGACTGCTACAAGAAGAGTAGTATTTCCAGTCTTGCTACGAGGAAAAGGTCCAACATAGTCGATAAATATCTTTTCCATGGGTCTTTCAGCAACTTCCGAAGCTAGTAGGCCTAGTCTGGTATTCTGCGCAGGCTTACTAAGAGAGCAAAGATTGCAGTTCCTAACCCTGTTAGCGATATCTCGGTCCATACCCTTCCATATATATTCCTGGCGAATCTTGGAAATAGTTTTTAATATTCCAAGATGTCCTCCCACTGGTGATTGGTGGAAATATGAGAAAACCATTGGGATGAGATGGCTTGGCAAAACAACTTTAGGACTTCGATTTCCCCTCTGAGGGCGGCAACAAACAACTCCCTTGGACAATAAATACGGTGGATAAACTTCTCCATTTTCAAGCCTATTTAGGATTTCCACAATTTCTGGATCTTCTTGTTGATGTTTTTGAAGTGCAGTGAAAGCTAAAGGGAAATCAGAGAGTAACATATTGCAGGTAATAGTTGTATTTTGAGAATCACCTTTCTCCTGAATAAACATGCGAGACAAGGCATCAGCCACTACATTTTGCGTTCCTCTAATGTGCTGTACTTTGAATTTGAGTGCGGACAGTTTTACGACCCATCTGCCTATCTTTCCTAATTGACGGGGATGAGCAAGTAACCAAGAAAGTGCTTGATTGTCCGTTTCGAGAAGAAATTCTGAGTGTTCCAAATACCTACGAAATTTATCAACGGCAAAAACAACAGCCAAACATTCCAATTCATATATCGAAGACGCCTTCTTCTCTTGAGGGCTTAGTGTCCTAGAAGCGAAAGCAATTGGTTGTCTAGTGCCATCCACTTCTTGTTGGAGTACGGCACCGAGTGCCTGAGATGAAGCATCAGTTTGAAGGATGAAAGGTTGTGAAAAATCCGGTACCTTTAACACTGGTGGAGACATGATAGCTTCCTTAAGTGCACAAAATGACGATTCCTGCTCCTTGCCCCAAATAAATTTTGCTCCTTTTTTCCTTAAAGAATTCAGAGGTACTGATAAATCTGCAACATTTGGAATAAATTTTCTGTAGAATCCCACCATTCCAAGAAATCTTGCGATGCCCTTAGCGTCTCGTGGTTTAGGGAAATCTCTAATTCCTTGAGTCCGAGCGGGGTCAATGCTCACACCTTTGGCAGAAACCAAATGACCTAAGAAGGATATCTCTTCACGGGCGAATTGCACCTTTTCCGGATTAACAGTTAGTCCGGCTTTACGCAACCTCTTCAAAACTTCTTCAATATGTAGTACATGTTCCTCCCAGGTTTCACTATAAACTAACAAGTCATCTAAATAGTTGAAAAGGAATTTAAATTTAAGGTCATGAAAGATTATGTCAAGTAGACGTGTAAGTGCTTGAGCGCCTACAGCCAAACCCATGGGTACTCGAGTGTACTGATATAAGTTCCAAGGTACACAGAAACTGGTGATGTGTCGAGACTGTTTAGCCAGTGGAATTTGATGATAGGCCGAGTTCAGATCAAAAATGGTGAAATATCGAGCTTTACTGAACCAGTCGAAAGCACTGTGTAGATCAGGTAACGGAACGGAATCAATTTCGATACAGGCATTCACCTTTCTAAAGTCGATCACCATGCGTGATTTACCCCCAGTTTTAGGAACAAGGAACGCTGGACTAGCGTATCCAGACGAGGATGGCTCAATAACACCTTGTCGTAACATTTCATCGACCTTCTGTCGCAATAACTCCATCTTGGGTGGGGCAAAACGGTAAGGATGAGACCGCACAATTTTATCAGAAGTCAATCGTATAGTGTACTCCAAAACGTTGGTTAAACCCAATTTACCAGTAAGAACATCTGGGTACTGATCGCACAACAAAGAAAGTGTCTGTCTTCTATCATCGCTCAGATGTGACAATGGTTCTTTAGTTCTCTCCTCCTTAATTTCACAATCCACTTCGAAAACCTGAGTAGCCTCCACCGCATTTGCAGCCAACTTAACAAACCGTTCCTTGTCAAAATTGAAATACCCCTTACTCCGACTAAGGTCAACAACCAATTGAGTATGTGAAATAAAATCCGCTCCCAGGATGCAATCCACTCCCAATTTTTCAGAGACCAGAAAAGTCCATAGCCATGAAAATCCTTCTATTTTGACATTACAAAGAATCTGAGTTTTAATAGGTAATATTTCCTTTGAAGCCGTTAAACATTGTAGATTGATGGTCTCAGTTGATTTTATTTTATTTTGATTTAATAACTGATTATAAAGTTCCAGTGATAATAGACTTCGAGCGGATCCAGAGTCCAGAAGTGCTCCACAACGGTATTCACCAAAATTAACCAGAACATAAGGACAGTGACCAGGTGACACTCTAATACCTTGCTTAGCAAGTTGAGTAACGAAACAACTGCTTTTACTTTCTCCGAGGCTTTTGCGGAGGGGCGGTTTTATTTCTCCTTCTCCCCCCCGCTCTGTTCGTTTTTTGAAACTTCACGGGGTTCCTGTCGAGGCTGCATAAACATGCTGTTTTGAGTGGCTCTACAATATCTTCGGGTGTGACCCTTCCTGCCACATCCGTAACAAGTAAAAACAGTACGTGGCCTATCTGTATTGTGTGAAGGATTTGCTTCCATACTCATAAGTGGTAAACTTTTCAAATTTTCTCGGACCCGCATATCTGAACCGCCCGGGGCACAAGAACTTCTCAACCCGTCAGTATAGGCAACGTTTCGTGATGTGATGCTCAACTCATCCAGTTCAATGAAGGATGACGGTCGCCTCGAAAAAACCAAACGAGAACGTTCTTCGGCTGTTAAACCTCCCAGAATGACTTCAACTATTCCCGTCTCTCCCAATTTAACCCGAAGCAGTCGAGCAACATGTTTAAGATCAGCAGCAAAACTAGCCAGACTCTCCCTTGGACGTTGTAATCGGTAAAATTTCTCCTGTATCAATTGTTGAAGTAGCCTACCCGGCACAAAATAATCCAAAACTTCTTGGTGGAAATCATCAAACGATCGGGTAGCTTCGATACATGACAGTACTCTCTCAGTCAAAGGGCTGCGACAATAGGGGTACACCAGTTTTAGCAGTGTGGAGTCATCCACACCAGGGAATTCTCTCAGACGGAGTAGGGAACTAAGGAAATTCAACAGTTGCGGTACTTCGAGTCCATCGGTAACGGGGAGCTTCTCCATAACCTGGCTGACTGGGTTCGGAAGCCTAGAATATTGTGGCGCTATCATGGTTCCAGGGAGTTTGGAAGTAGCCTGCACAGTCTGTGATGATGGCTGTGAATTTCCAGATACAGCACTGTGAATTTTATTACAAGGACTGGAAGTATTAGTTACATTCGTAGCAGGAGTTTGCGACTCATCCTTCTCGTTAATCACTATTTCGTCTGGAGTCTGGATCTCCTGACTACCGCCACTAGCAACATTGACAGTAGGTTGTTCCAACTCCTTGTTCCCGGTGGCAGTTCTGGGCTTGGGATTTAATAAAAAGCACAAGTGCTCACGGACTTGTTGAAGCACAAGAGTTACAGTAACTTCGCTATCCTCTCCAACAGCCTGAACAGGATCTATGGCATTTAGCCGTCTTTCAAGATGTTCAAGACGAACTCTCAAGCGCTGAACAGCATTGGAACCCAGATCAGGATAATCGCCCAAGTCCTTCACACCTAAAGTTAATTCCTCAGCAAGCTCCTTACAAAATTCCCATTCTTCACCGGGATCATTCTTCACAGCAGAGGTAGGGGGCTTGTTGGCCTTTATGAGTCCCCTGAGTTGACGTCTCAAATCAGCTACCTTCAAAGCCGGGGTCTCACCTCGCAAGGCAACTTCAAACTGGAGTTCCTTTTTCAGCAGAAAATCGGGGTTTAAATTACTCATCTCGACAAAATTTGAATACAAACAACAAACACGACAGCAAAATTTTTTTTTACAATTAACAATTCACCAAAAAACACCATTGCCAGGGCTCCTAACCAAAACGCGAACAAAACGGGACAATCAATGACGGGCCTACGTGAAAACAACTCGAAACATTTTTTTAAATCTACACAAGGAAATACAAAACACAATGAAATGACAAAACAACAAATGAGACAAATTCCAACAAGTTTTTCATGTTGATACCCAGGAACACACAGTTCAGAAAATTTCAAAATCCAGCGGCCATGACCTGAAAACAATTTGAATCACCTTCAGACCCCCAAGAACACAGAAATATTAAAATGCTAACAAACACTCTAAATTACTGAGCCATTTGAAAAAAAAAAAACCACGCTCTGCTACCAAATGAAACATGACTGAGTTCCCAGACCCCAAAATGGTACGTGGAACTTTTACCAAGATTCTGTGCTCATGAGAGATCTGCAGGTGTTCAAAAAAATACAACTGAAAAGTGATTAACATCTTTAATTACCAACTCAATTAAAAATATTAACAAATATGCGCCCTTAAACAACAGCGAAATAATATATACAAATTGGTACAAGGCTTAGAATGTAAATCAATACCAGTGTTAGGCCTAAATCATTTACCAAAACATTTAAAACATTTATGTATATATAAACTTTACCAAAAGTTGAAGTTCAAGTTTAAGTTTAAGGACCAAGCTGGTAACTAGAAGAAAATCCTTACTTTAAGTTAGGTTAGGCCTACTCGGAAAAGGTTTAGGACAATGATAAATTTAAAAATATGAATCTTAAAAGGCAAGAAATTGAAAATATTACATAAAACAGACGTTGAATTGAAATGACCTTACAATGAAATCATTTAAAAATAGTATTTGACCAAAATATCAATAACAAGTTGCGTTTAAGGAAAAACGTTCGAACAACCTTACAGTTCAAAATTACACTCAACATTGACATGAAAATATTTAAATAGCAACATAAGACAATTATACACAAATATACACTAACATCAGAATAGAATTTTAATTTAAACAGTAAGAAATAGAATTTTTAAAATGGCAAAAATTGTGGGGAAGAATTTAGTACTGGCGTGAACCGAAATGAAATTTAGAACAATTGGGCCGAAAGTTTCCCCGTTAGAACAGAAATTTTTTGCCTATTACTAACATAACATGGTACATACACAAAATAATGAAATAACAAGGAAATGTGACACCCTACTAAATACATGAATTCTTGTAGCCTTTTTAAAAAAAACTCGTAGACCCGTGATATAAATAATGTATTCTTGTTGACTTTTGTTAGTTCCAGTTCCACAACTCAACTCGCAGCGATAGAGAAATAAAATCATTTAATTTGAAACAGTAAAAAACACAAGGGGATTTATAGTCTGTAGTTTAGTCCAGAAATAAGAAGTAGGCCTAGTTAGGGAAACACTAAGCTCAATTTGCTAGGCTACAGAGTTTAAGAAATTGAAACGGTAAAAGTTTAAATTGGGGAAAAACTTGATATAAATGAACTGTTCTTGAAGGTAGGCTGAATGCAAACGTTGGAATAATAATGATAACATGGAGTAGATAGCACCTGGTTTGTAGAGGTGAAGAAGGCCAAAGTTCTCGTAGAATGTTTCTGGGTGAAGTCCTTCCGCTGCGAGTTGGTTGTGGTTAGGCCTGGTTTAGTCCGGGGGCGAAGCCCTCGTCTTGCTCCGAACTAGGTCAGGATCAGGAGGCATGATGTGTCCGCTGCTGTCGGTCCAGTACAGGAACCCTGGCTTGGTGTCAAAAACAAATTTAAAATTGCATTTTATGAAGGTCGAACAAAATGAACTTGGAAAATCTTCTTTCTTGAGTCTCCATAGTGCCGGTAAAATTTGGAACGTCAATCTAGGTGGACGATTTCAAAGAGAGAGAGCGTCTCCAAGCAAATCGGAGAAGAAGGGGAGTAAAGACAAAGTGGACTCGCCCACGGCCTTTGGCGAGCGTCGGCGTACAGAGCTTCTGCCGCAATATGTACTATAAGAAATACTCTCCTTTCTCAAACTGAGCCGACTGACACGGCTCACCGTCAGCTGTGCTGCGGTTAGCATAAGTTCTGACGTCCACCGCTAGGTTTGCCGTGTAGTTACGGCACACACCGCTGCAGAGTCTGCTGGTCGCATACGGCTCCTGCGCTCCTCGCCTGCAGCGGTGTGCGCTGTAACTACACGGCATTGATCCTAGCGGTGGGCGCCGGAACCTTCCTTTGACAGTCTATATTTATTCTATTGGTCTATGATATAAGTCACACAGGCAAGCCAGTAGTGACTCCAGAGATTAAGGCATCAGCTGGTCTTGAATCAGAAATTTCTGGCTTAATAGCCCCAAGATACCACTAGTGAGCAGCAGTGTCCAGTAAGTTATGAATCACAAAATATCTAAACCAAATCCAAATGACCAAAACCAAATAAAATGAGACATCTTGAAGGTGATGAAACTACCATGGATATTTATAATTGCTCTCATATAAGTTCAGATACTTAAAAAATGTTTGTGGGATTTAGACATGAAAATGAAGGTTTTTCTCTCAAACATTTTTAAACCCTCGTATTCAAAGGAAATCCAGTAATTTACCAACTAAACAAAGTTCAATCAACATTTCCAACAAACCTTGATCGTACTGCACGTAGTGGCGAGCCTGGTCAGACTGAGTTGTGTATCGTCTCATCACATTGTCGTCCATCAGAGCCTTTCCTCTGAACAGAGAGAAGCATCCAGGACTACACAAGACGCAGCCTATCATGTGTTCAGTGGCCTTCTGCAGCCAATGACCAATGGCGTACTCGAACATCTGGTACCACACCATCAGACCTGTGCGGACATTGAGTGGTTACTTACTGTATAACTATTTGGGATGGGGATGCGCAACTAACCTATGAACGAAAGATGATGGCGCTTGGTGTAGTTTTGTTGCTAAGTTCAGCTCTTTCTGCAGACAAAACCACTTTGTTAAAAGACTTGTTCAAGAACACCTTGGCCCATTTTAGAGCGATCAAAATGATAATTTGTTTGGATTGAACGAGTGGTTTTCTCAGGGCCGATTTACCGAATAGGCACGGTAGGCACGTGCCTAGGGCGCGAGGCAATTGGCTTTTTTGGGGGGCGTCAAAAATTTGGAAATTTAAAAAAAATTCGTGGTAGTATTTGCATGATATTGCGGTAAACTTCTGATAACCACTCGCGGCCGTGTAGGCATGGTAATCGTCTCCCGCGTTTGCGGCAAGATTCTTACTATTTTCTGCAGTCAGGTTGTTTGGACATAAAATTATTGTCTTCCATGATCGAGGCAATATAAGAACGTATCCCGCAGTCGTGAGGAGATTATTATCATCTACCGCAAATGAGGCAAAATTCTGATATTTTCCCACGGTTGTGAGGACATTATCCTCGTCTTGCCTGATCGCGGTCAAATTCTGACCACCCCCGCGGCCGTGAAGACATCATATCGTCCCCGTCGGTCGTTTGGACATAGTAGTCGCCTCCCGCAAAATGGTAATCATCTCCCTCGGACATATGGAGATAATCGTCTTCGGCTAATGAGGTAAAATTCTGATCTTTTCCTGCGGTCATTTGGACATTATCATCGTCTTCCGTGATCGCGGCAATATTCTGATCATCCCTCGTGGCCGTGTAGAAATAGTTATTATATCTCCCGCGGTCCTGTAGATATCGTACGTATCCCGCAGTCGTGAATCCATGGCAATCGTCTCCAGCGATTGCGGCAAAATTTTAATCTTGTCCTGCAGTTTTGTGGAGATCATCATCGTCTTCCGCGATCGCGGCAAAGTTCTTGAGGTTTCCCGCGGTCGTGTGGACATCAATCGTCTTCCGTGATTGTGGTAATATTCTGATCATCCGTTGCGCCTCTGTAGATAGTAGATACCATCATCGTCTTCTGGGATCGCGGAAAATTCTGATCATCCCTCGCGGCCGTGTTTAGACATTTATTATTGTCTCCCGCGGTCATGGGAACGTCACTGTTGTCATGCGCGATCACGGAAACGTCACTGTTGTCATGAGCGATCACGGTAAATTGAAATCTCCAGGTAGAAATACAAAATTCACGGTTCAAAGATCTCCCGCATGATTCCCGGATTTCCCGGTCGGTGTACACCCTGTTATATATATATATTGCAAAGGGGCGCTACTATTAGACGTGCCTAGGGCGCTGACAGGGTCAAAAACGGGCCTGGGTTTTCTGATTACTTTAACTCTTATTTAAGGTTACCTATGGTTAAGAGCATGATGGGTTAGCCTCTGGATCGTAAATTGCAATATAAAAATGGTTTATTTTACCTTTTTGCGTCGAACGATCCGTGTGTAGTTAGTACAACCATCTCGAAGCTTCTTCTGGGTCATGACGCAACCAACGAACTATACTACGTAGTATAGTTCGTTGGACGCAACATCCATCGGCGCCTGTCTCGTGTGTTCGTTACTTGGCCAAGTTCGTAAATTCGTGTTTTTTAAATGTTTTTCGTATATTATGTGTATATAGACATATTTATTTCGACAAGTTCATCTATTAATGAATGCTGTTTTATCTAACGTTCTGCCAACAACCTGATGATGTACCCTAGTGGTATGAAACAGCTGTAGTTGTACTAACTACACACGGATCGTTCGACGCAAAAAGGTAAAATAAACCATTTTTATATGGTTAAGAGGTTTTATTCATTGAAGCGGTAGAGCTGGATTCTTTGGTGGAACACAGTGAAAAAGCCATTCAAAGCCATTCAAGGAAGATTCCATGTCATACATCAGATACTTAATATAAATAATAATGTAAGTATTAATGTAATACATTTTGTGTAGATTTTACCCTGCCAGTATTTTTCTAGCTGAGTTGATGAAACATTTAACAGAATTTTAAGTATTCTCAGAATGTGTAGAATTTTTTTTACTTTTAATTTATGTTTTTTTCTGTGACAGTGCTTCTACTAATTTTCTCCTAAAAGGCAATTCATGGGAACATCCTCTAATAATCTTAGACGAACTACATTACCTGAGCCAACAGGGTGAATACGGCCACAAGCTGCTCCTAGGTTCCTATTCTTCTTCATCAAGTCAATAAGCAGTCGCACAGCATGAGGTTGGAAGTCAATGTCTCCATCAAGAGTCAACAAGTAGGTGTTCTCTGCGATCACCTCTTTGCGCTCCACCGAGATTGGCAGTTCCATCAGTCGATGACCGAGCAGGTAGTACATGTACATCACCTGCAAACAATTGTCCTCGTCAAAACAAGATGAATTTTTTCCTAAAACAAAATTCATTTTTAAAATGCAAATCTCCAAATTTGTTATTTAAATCATGTTCAGTTTTCTATGCATTAAAATAAATTGGAACATCATTGTCAACCAAAAGTGTCCACAAAAAACATAAACCCAAAAATTGTACATACACCTTAACTAATTACCTGACTCCAGCGTTTCCTATGTCTGATTTTACTCTTGTCCTTAAGGTGGCAGATCATTTTGGTCTTTCCTGGTAAGGTCCAAACCAGACGTCCTCCGTACGGTGTCGGATACTTGGTGGGAGCTCGGATACGGATGTTAGTCTCGTGAACATGTGACGCTGCGTCATCAATGGTCGACACCAACAGTTTTACGAACCTGTTCACTTGCGACCAGTCATCGTTGACGTCACTGATCTCAAAGGCATCGTCAAAGAACAGATGTGCTAAAAAAGTGCATACAATTTTTAAATAGATATTAAGTACCCATGTTTTTTATGTTTTAATTTTCTGAAGAACATCTTACTGGTTTCGGTGTTAATAGGGAGTAATTGGTAGCCTAGCTCTTCTAGAATTCCTTTATTTATTTCATATCTTAATTAACTTGTTTGTGTCCAGAATGAAAATCCCTGGTTTTTACTTTACATGACTGTAACTGAGCGTTCCTTAAACTAGATCAAAGTTCATGATAATAGTACAGTATTACCTCGTTTTTACATATTTTCATTATGTTATTTATATTAATCTGAGTACCCAACAATGCATAAATTTATAAAAATCTATTCAAAAATTTCAGCATGTAATCAAATTAGTGTGTACTCAAAGAAGGGCGTTCAAAGTGTGGTCAAATTATCTCGGATCTAAAGCTACTTCCTGCTTCACCTGAAAAAGGAAATTTTGAAAATATTCTTCAAGCATTTAGACTCTTAAATAGACATATAACATTAATTTATAATCAATTTAGAGTCGTTTGATCATTTAGAGGCCAAAATTTATGTTATTTACTCTCAAACTCGTAGTAGTCAGGGTCCACCACCCGCAGATATTTCTGAGCGACTCGTCTCGCACACTGGTCCTCGTCCAGTCTCATGATACTCTTCAACATCTCCATCATCTCGTCACGAGTCTCGTGCCACATGGTCGCGCAGGCATAGATCCGAGTGATTGAGTCGGACTTCTTGACAGTTCGTGGTGTCGTGCTGCTGTTATCAGTGTGGACTGAGATTGTCTCGTAATACTCATCAGGGTCTTTCTCTCTGTCCGCTAGTTCCTAAAAGAGGAAAGGAGGTTTAGTAGGTTTTGTCCCAATTAGAGTTTCAGAAACACTTACTAGAATCATTCATTACATCGTTAATCGGTAGCTTTTAACAGTACTTCCTTATGGCGCAAGTTGTCAGCTAGAATTCTCTCCCCTTTCAGTTTTTTTAAAGTTGAATGTTTCTAAATGTAAACCCCCTATACATAGAAGGGAGGAAGAGGGTAATTCGGTACCATCTGTGTTGTCAGCTAGTTCTAACCCTTCTACTATCCCTATCTCTTTTAGCAAGTTTGGTAATACTGTACTTCCAAATTAATGCATACATATTTTAGATGTTGATAAGTCTGCTATGGTATCACAACTTAATTTTCTCTCTAACAAACCTGTTTGGCAACTAAAAACTATAGGGATGTCCCAACATACATGTTCATTAAACTAGTGCAAACAACTATGTGTTTCAAGTTTAACCGAGAATATACTTGTATGTCGGTTTGTTAGGCAGTCAACAAATGGGTCACTCCATTTAACAAGTACATCTATAGTATTCGCTATAAGATTTATAAACATATTTTCACTACAAAGTCACAATTTTCCAACACTACCTCAGTTTTGACATCATTGCCATCGTCCTTTCTCCTGTTAAGACCGAGAGATTGGTCGATGAGCAGAGAGTTGTACATCGGCAGAACAAACAACTTCTCGGTGCTGGCGAGACGTTCAATCTTGGGAGTCCAGATGTGAAGAGTGATCCACGTCTGAGACAGCAGCCACAGCAACCAGACCCATGCATGCTGTTGGGGATAAATGTATTGTGTTTATTCAAATAATCAACAGAAAATATCAAAATAGTTGTGTGTCAAAAAGTAAACACAAAACTCTACAGTTTCGTTTAGGCTTTAAAATGTAAAGATAAGATATTGAAAAAAACTGTAACAAAAAGTAGAGGGATCTCTTTAAAATCGAAATGAGGTTGCTGGTCGGAATCCAAGCAAGCTTGCTTCTGGACTTGGATGACATTTCTCTTTGGACTATCAATTAACAACGCTATCTAACAAAAGAAAGGCGTTAAATAGTAACGAGACCAGGTTTTTCAATTTCACCGTTCCCTTGGAGCAAATTTAAAGCTTGTCAATGGTGTGAAATCACACCAAATTCAATTTCGAAAGTGATTAATTCAGTAGTTTTTACATCCTCTTCTGGGGGAGGAAAAATGTCAGTAGTTGAAGGGTTGGTTCAGGCTGTTCTAGGGGTTAGGTAAGGTAAGAGTGCTGACACATGTTAGGGCCGACTATATTAAAGCAAAAATTGGGAATTACATATTAGCTGCACAGGGTAGTATGGGTAGCAAGGGCATGGACTTCTAGTTCCCTCTGGTGGTGCCCGTAATGGGTATTTTTGGATTGAGTGTTGATGTTTTTTAGTGTGGTCATTGCTGTTAATTTTATTAGTTTTTCAGTGAAATTGGTACCCTCCCTCACAGTTTTGAAGATAATATTTAAATTCTACCACCACTTACCTGTTTTGATATGAAGTCATTCAGGAAATACACAGGAGGAGACTCAAAGAACAGGTAGTCGGGGATGGTGTTGTGGAAGAAGCACGGGTCGTCATGACGCAACCCACACATGGCGATGAGCAGTGACAGCGTAACCGGGATTGTGAGGTTCACTGGGAAAGCGTAGCTGAAGCCCTGGATCACAATCTTACACGCAAACTTACCTGAAAAACAAACAAGAATTAGGGGTATCTAAAACATGGGTTGCACCACTAGGCTTGACAAGCACAATGTGTATGCATTAAATAAAATAATAAGCGTAATTGTATTTATTTTATGGAATTAGCAGGCATAGGCAAGAGCTATGGACTCACCAAAGATGTAGCACAGGTAGGCAGAAATGATGTGCATCAGTAGCACATACAGAGCCGTGTTGTATTGAGCTTCTATGTCAATGACTTCACCGGTGGGTGTGACATCAGCCAAGTCTGGTAAACTGGTCCCTCCAAACACTGGCTTGATCTGGGTAAAATAAAGACATTGTTATCCAAACGTTTTAAAACCATGTATATACGAATGAGCCAAACCAGCTGTATACCAGAATGTACCATACATACATCATCACAATCAATCTGTAGGAAACTTGAGCATCACCTGAGTAAAGCACTAAGGTGTTAATAGGTAAAACTCATTTTAAAAGTGTTGAAAAAGTTTGATTAAAGTGAGTGACAGGGAAAAATATTAGGTTGTACAGTAAATTATTCATTACTGCACAATATAAATAGTTTTTTTTTTTCTCGTGTTTTTTTTTTCAATCAATCAAGAAATTTATTCACACAATAATTACCAATACATAGGATACAAAAGTGCAAAAACCACAAATGATTTGTCTACACTAAAAATATTGTTTCTTATTTACCATACAGTTTTGTCAGTTTGAATCAGTAGCATGCAGTTTTATGAGTTCTTAAATTGTCTCTTGTGTCTTGTGTCTTAAATTGTTGTTATAGGCCAATGTAGGCCATAAGTCTACATATCTTGCTCACAAAATATTCTAATCAATTATCATACTATGATAGGTTTTTTAAACTACCCTATTATAGATAGGATAGCTTAAAAACAAAAATTGAAACCAATTCGCTTAATAATAAAAAAAGTCTTATTTTACCTCAGTAATCCTGATTTTGTGAGCAGAGAATCCAGCAGAAAAGGATGAGAAGAACTTAGAGATACTCTCCCCTCTGTATGCCACAGCTACAACGGTCAGAAAGAAGAAACTGAGGATCTTCCAGATAGAGATGAAGATGTAGGTGAAGTACCTGGTGCGCTTCAGTCTGTCCTTTATACGCCAGAAAGGTTTTGTGAACACTGTGAACAAAGACATAATTAGGTTATGACTGGAATTTTACATGGATTGATATTTGTATTTAATGGTTGCCGGATCAATCCTGAGAAAAGTCAGTACCTTTATGATGGTTCGAAACTGGACCCAGCTGTTCCTGATCATTGGGCTTTAAATAAATGATCCTGACTAATGAAATAGCTGATAGTCAGTAACAAAGCTGCACAGATCATCCCACACCATTATACACTCATCCTTCACTCATATTTGGGTTAAAATACACACATAGGTTCCCATCTAAAAGATTGATAATTGATGTATATACTAAATCACAAATTTATATTCATAATTGGTTGTTACCACTGACTAATGAATACTCAAGGTCTATCAATAGTCAAAGATTTGACTATTTGTCTTTGACGTAAACTCATGAATCAGCAAAACTAAATTTACACTGACAAATTTCAAAAGTACAATAAACTTTGATTATATGAAAAAATATCGTACGACAACAATCATATGGGTTTGGACCTCTTTCCCAGAAAGCGTTTGTCCAACACTCTTTCAACTCCACAAAAAACTTTCACCGCTGTAGACAAAAACAAAAAATAAATAATATTATAAGTTATGGACGCACCAACGACGCTGTTTTTGCCGATGAAGTTCTCCCACCAACCACAGGATATGCAGGCCAATGAGATAGGGATGATCCACAAGTTAGGGTGTTGTCCTCCCTCGAGTAGAGGCCACATGACGAAGCCTGTGGCCTGCGCTGCGATGGCTACTATGTCTACAATGGCCTTCATGTAAACCTCCGTCTTCTCTGAGCGAGACGTACAGCCCTTGGTGTTGCGGGAGAGAAGACCTGTAGAGCATTTGAGATTTGTGAACAAGGAAATTGTGAAATGGATATGCTGAAAAAGGAAAATATTATCTTCTACAATATGAGAGGGTTTTAAATTTTACTGAAGAGTGACACTGTACGTTTGTAGTGACTCATAAGTAACAAAAAATACAACTGTGATACAGTAAATATGCATAGTCTAATATTTTATTTTAAAAGTTTCTAAGAACCTGACATCACACTGGAAATACGTACACATTTCATCAGTGTGAGAGATCACACATCATTACTTTATTGAGCTGAACACTTTCCTATCAAAGCATTTATTCTTTACAAAATTAACTTAGTGCTTTTTGTGTTAAGAAGTTTTTAACTTTCCTATTTTGAGAACTCAAATAGTTAACATTTAGTGTAAGTATTCTTCAAATCCATCTATGACTCACTCAGCACAGCAGGCACAAAACAGACACAGTTGGTCAGCATGGCTCCCTTGATGGCGTCCAACTCCGGGAGAATGACAAAGATCAGCATTGCCAACCCAACAGTGTGGAGTGTCTCCATGATGAAGACAAAGAGGAAGTCGCCGAAGGGAGGCTTCCTCCAGGATTTGAAAAAGCATATCCTGAGGGACCTCAGGAGAGTCCCGACTTCCGGGACCATGAAGGCGAACAGAAGACACCATGTCCAGGCTACCCTCTCCTCTGGAGGGAGGTTGACTACAAACTGTTTGTCTCGTCCTGGAATACCATGGAAATCATCAATTGGATGTTTGACGATTAAGTTTTGGAAATCAAAAAGTAAAGTTTGAAAAGTGTAAACTGTTTACAATCATTAGATTTTATCACTTACACAGTAAAAGGGTAGGTATACTACGGTATAACTGACTCAATTTTTGATCATGAATTGAGCTACCATTACACTTTATATTTCAACAGTTTGGGAATTGGAGCTCAGCAGACATAATAACATATGCATCAGAGTTCCTGGATTATAAAATCACTGCAGGAAACTTCCTACAGAACTTAAAGTGGAATGTCCTAGGGAATCTCATAGCTGGCCTCTAGTTAACTGGAGATACTACGTTCAGAGCAGGATAGTTCTCTGCTCGGGAGAAAGAGATCAATAATTGACCTATGGAACATGTACAGTACACAACATGACCTGAATTTCCTCATGAAGAAATACACAAAATAAACAAACCTAAGTCTTTGTTGCAATATGGAACAACACGGTCTGGCCTCAGCTGTGAGGTCATGAAGAAGACAGATCCCTTGGCGATGACTCCACATCCCAGTACGATGACAAAGGTGACGAGATAAGCGATGACCTTCAGGATCTTGACAGTGAACTCCAGACAGACCTGGGACTCCATGGAGCCACTGTCCGACTTGGGCGGAAGGTCTCGGAAAACGTCCCATCCTTTGGTCTCCTGCACCGTTCGCGTGCTGGAACAAGAGTAAGGAGGTTAATAGTGGAAAAGAATTTTGAAAACAGCTGGGATTGCAGTAAAGACTGCATGATTGATTATTGGTCTACTTGGTAAGTAGAAGCTTTTTGTCTAGCATTCGCTGAAGTTTCTGTTTTAGACAGCTTTTAGGACCCACTTGCAGATATGTTGTACAAACAGGTTTGCAGCTGAGTTTGGCTGAGCTCTTTTGCATCTTGAAACATAATGCTTTCTAAGACTGGATTAGACAAAAATCGTTAAATTGAATATCACATACAACTTAGGCAGCCTTCGCACTAAAGTGATACTGTAACTTATTGTTGCAGTCAGATCTAACAGGTCTGATCATGGTAGGCCTAAATGTCTTCACTTTCATTGTTGATGCTAATTTCTTCAAACACCAACTGCAGATAGCGTTTTTGACACTATACGAAAGCTATAATGATGCACAAGTGGTAACTCTGATTCTTCAAATACCTAGATTGGTTTATATAAAGTTATGAGCATCAGAGACCATTTGTAGTAATCCAAAACTTGATAAGGATATGTATGGGCAAATATCAAAGGTTATGAATAATTATCTGTATAGGCCTACCATACGACCTAGAATAATTTAATCTTGTAAGGAAATTTTCAGGACAAAAACCAACCAAACTTTATCTACTGATTTTTTGTGATTTTAAAAATGACGTTCAAACAGGTTTACAAAAAGTGGATGGTTTGCTATCAACGATACTACATTTTAAGGGTGATCTACATTTTACATTAGCACGAGAGCTGTTTGCTATTCAGCCAGCTGTGTTGTTACAGTTAATGTTACTTTCACGTGGCCCTTCACCTACCCCCCCCCCCTCCTCACTCCTCGCCTTCGCCATGTTACACAACTAGTCTTGACATTAAACGTAGTGTATCACAGTTATAAACCTTCGTCGCTTCGTCATACCTTTATATATACCTTGCCGCAAACTGACTTCCCACACCAAAGTAAATGTTAATTTGTTAATAATGACGATCATCATTGACGATTAAATCTGTGAGGATTTTTATTTGACTAAACTCCATTATATTGTACAAATAACTTTTGATTGCTATTAAATTGAAATATTTGGGAACTGCCCGACCCCTGATTTTCTGTATTATCTAACGTCTTTTTGCCTCAGTGAAGGTTCTAGGACCTTGTCAAGGAGGGGGGATGATGGGGGTTTCACCAGTACAGGGACGGGGGTCCTCCTCCGGAAAATTAGCTATTTGTAAAGTCATTTTTAACATCTCGAACTGTGTCCAAAAAAACCTCCGTTAAGCTTTTTGACGACATGCATGTTTAAATTTATGTTTCAAGGCTCTTTGGGGGGTGGTTAAGCCCTATAGCCCCCCCCCCCTTGGAACCGCCACTAAGCTAATAACAAATTCAATCTGGGTTCAAAATTGATCCCGCTAGGAATCGAACCAGCTACCTTCGGATTTGAAGGCTAAGAAGTACTGTAACAACTGATGACGTCACACGCTTGTTATATCTACGAAAAAACTAGTGGTTTACTAGTAATAGAATAATATGAATAAATGAAAGGACGAAGAAAGAATGGCAATGTGTTACTGAAAGTCCCATGAGCTAAATATAATCGAAATATTAGAGCACACTAGGAAATTCAAAGTTACCATTGGGTAAATCTTATTTTTGAAGACTTGTGGACTTCAAGTATGTTCAGAAGTGTACGGTAATCTGTATATGATAGATGTTGTGAGAAAGTCAATCCGTTTGAGCCGCATATAAACGATGGACCTAGCAGACAGCATTCCGGGACTTGCTCAACGGAGGTTGCTCAATATGAAGTCATCGTAGCTGGTCTTGGGCTCATGAAATGTTTGACCCCTCTTCTGTAAAACACCAATTGAATCATACACTTCTCTGATTGGGGGGGAGGTCCTGTTAGTTTAGCGTTTTTGGGAAATTTTACTGACCAGCACGACTAATTTCCCCGTGTAAAATATGTTAGAACACTCACAGCTTCAAGAAGTTGACTCAAAATTCTAACTTTCGATTGCCTTTGCTATTCCAGTAAGTATTGTACTTGGAACCTAAGCATCAAATCCTACAAAACGACGGTTATGAATGCAAATATCCTAATTTTTATTTTGAAATCAAAAAGATACATATTTGCAATGTAAACCACCACCGTTGAATCTAAAGCTCCTTGCTAATTCTCATAACCCAATAAACTTATACCGAAAGTACATTTATTATGCAACTTTACCAAAATTAATAATATACGAGTGTTGTTATATCCGTGCTTCGCAACGGGAGAAGGACGGGAAAGAGAATTATGTTGTCATTTAGATCTACTTTATTACATGGTTAGCCTACACATATATTATTTATTTTAAAAACTAAACTTAATATTACTAATTTTACTTTCAATTTAGATTAGATGTTTACATTATCTAGGCAATCATCTAGGCTCTGTTGTGTGTTTTAAAATACTGTAACTATGGTGTAATTTCAAAAGATCAAGTTATTTGTGTAGGCCTACTCACTTTCAAACCCCGACTTATATGTAAGGTCAATGGATTAGAAGAAACGAACCACATAACTTATTGTGTAAATTAAAATGAAAACTATGAGAAAAAAACTCAACAGAACTTGACTTTCACTATTTTTCTTTAACCAAACATAACTCTCTTAATAACTTAACTACTAAAACACACACTTTTTCACAATGTAAATAAAGGACCATAACAAATCCTTTCAAGTTAATAAACAAACCGCTATTTCGATTAATCGATCAGCTGTTTCATAAACTTCGAAAGCATGCAAGATTACGATTTCGTGATGCAAGATGTAGCCCTTTGAGAATCGGTCTGTGGGGCAGAGACTTTAAGGAATTTGTCCATACTAATAATTTTCGACCTAACTAAATATTATGGCTTCATTTTCATTTTCTTGCCTGTTATTTGGTTGGAAGCCCTAAACGACTGCCACAAATTTTATTGTATGACTTTAGTAATATGCTAGATGTCTGTAAACGGTTATTTTTACGGTTATTATCTTTTAAGAGTAGACCTAAATTACCAAATACTTCTGTAAAAATGACAGTGGTCTCGGTATCCTACCTTATTCCAACCAAGATTTTCACTCCAACCTCCCAGTTTCTCCTGAACTTTAAACACTCTCGCTCTGATCTTATCAATCGTAATTGAACGGTAAAAAGTTCAATGACCATTTGCAGTCGTTATTTTAATCTAGCAGATTTCACAGTTCGGGAGTCCATCTCGTCTATGATTATCTTTCGACTCGCGGAAAGAGAAAGCGGAACCGATCCGAAAATGTGAATTGCCTGGTATTAAACGGGGACTATATAGCTTAGATAGCGAAAAACTATAACTTCGATTAGTAACTCCACATTCGTACAGGTAGCTTATAAATTTAAATTAATTAGTTTAGTAAACGTGTTATAATATAATTTAACAGGAAATATTTTATAATTAGGTTTCAAGCAACATAAGCCAATCTCAGACCAACAGAAGTGCTTTTTTTTACACAGATTAATCTGTGAAGTTTGTCTGTGTTTATTTGGCACAACTGTTGCGAGACACCCTGTAAGATTCGTGTTACAAGAGGAGTGGCTGTAAGGAACAGTTCCAATGGACGGATTTGGCCTTGGCTGAGTCTGGCTCGGGTTACAAGTCCTACAAGACAGATTCTGCAAGCAAAATTTTGCCACCAAATCTCCGCCGGTTACAGATTTGGTGGAAAACGTCATTCGCCTGTTGGGTCTGATGATGATGGAATAATTTGGAGTTACCAATCGAAATCGATCATCACTTACCATCTTATGTATTTACCATCTTTTGTGAGTAAACAGTATAACTTTTGAATAAATAGGCGGCAAACAGCTGTTTTCTGGACTAATTTAATGCGTGGAAAGTATAATAAAACAGTGTAGTGTGACGAAAAAAATTTATGGTAGGTTATGATCACATGGTGATGAAGATAATTTATTGCACACCCTGTGTATATCACAGGGTGTTCCTTAGACAGGCTGTTACCTAATACTCTAATTGTAACACTGTCTCTCCTTCCAGACTAACCAGCTCAGAGTTGTGCAACTTGCGACACTTCTTGCTCTTGTTAAATAACACACTTCTCGCATTGTCTCTGAAGAGAAACACAGCTGATTCTTCTGCCTAGGCGAGGGAGTGAATAATCAAACACAGGGATATAAATTGAATTAACTATCAATTCTTGGAGACAGCGGCGCACGATTTTGTGTGTATTTTAACCTTAATATGAATGCAATGTGTGGGGTGAATCTTTTATTCAATAGTCAATTAGTAGAATGGAGTGAGAAGATGGGTGTAGCATTAATGACTAGGATCAGCTGGTTCACAAGTCAGGAAAACTTTAAAAACTGCTGATCAAGGAGCCTCTCCAAATGATAAAAAAGCTATTGACTTTTCTCAGGGTCATATTGGTATTCGAGTACTAAAGCACTACAACGTAAAGTTAAACACAATAATAAAAATAACGTTAAAAATTATTTGGGGCAGTTAAATCATGATCCTACATAAATTACTGGACAGGATTTAAGAAAGAAATTAATTTGTTTGGCATTTTCAAAGAGTAAAATATATAGCTAACTCTGCGCATGCATGTTACCTTTCCAAAAGAAAGGGAAGTGTGTGACTGCCATAGGGTTTGTGGAAGGGGGAGAGGAGATCTGGTGAACTGGATCAGCGAGAAAGCGTATAGTATGTAGAGCCAGTCTGTGTAACACTTGCATAACATGGCTATAGTAGAGGCAATGGCAATACATCTAGAGCTGGTTACTGCAAGGCTTACTGGTGATAATCAAATCGGCTGACGCAAATAATTCATTGGATTTTGGATGCTGAAATAGATTGTAGCCAGTATTTTTCTTCAATTAGATAATAGTTTAATGATATGGGCACACTGCTGTCAAATTGGTTATCGCTTGGTTATTAAATTGTTATATTCAGAAG